ATCACCTGATCTACAGTCAACACAGATGCAAAGTACTTATGTCAGTTGGCCTCATACACAGCTTGCCACTTACCTAATTGGCCATATTCTTTCACTATTGAACTCACAATTGAAACTCAACTAATGACAGTCATCTCAGCTCTATTTATAAAAGGCCCTGTTGCACGATCAGTAACCTCTGCATGATCAGGAGGGAGAACCCAGCTGGAGTGAGACACAGCCCAAGTGAGTATATAGTTCAGGGAATTTCAAGGCAACATGGGAATTCAGTACAGAAGGAAACAGGGTGCCTTTTGCTTGCTTTTGCTCGGCTCAATTTTAAGTTTTTTTTTTAAAACAGGATAACTGAAGCCTAGAATCAGGGACCCAGCACAAGAGTGACATCCCAGGCAAACCTTAAGTTCGTTGGTTGGTGACAGCTACTAATTAGAATATCTGTGAGGGATTACTTTCAGATTGAAGATAAAGAGAGGAAATATTTGCAGGCTGCAAATTAAAAGAGCGACATCTCAGGTAAACAGTGAGTTCATCAGTTGGTGATAGCTACTAATTAGAATATCTATGAGGGGTTACTTTCAGATAGAAGGTAAATAGAGAAAATATTTGCAGGCTACAAACTAAAAGATCAGTATGAAATTTTTAAAAATCAAATTAAGTAGTAATTAAAATAGAGATGCCAGGCCAGTTGATGTGCAATTGCATGATGTGGGAGCTGGTGGACCCCACTGTGGTTCATAGTGACCACATCTATAGAAAGTGTTGGTTGCTTGAGGAACTTGGGCTGAGAGTTGATAAGCTTGAGTCTGAGCTCTGAACACTGTGCCACATGAGGGAGAGGGAAGAGTTACCTGGATGCTGTGTTTCAGAAAGCAGTCACACTCCTTTAGATTATCTACTACAAATTTGGTCAGTGGTCTGAGATAGGAGTGTGAGACTATGACTAAGGCATTGAGAGGGATCAAGGAGGTGGTACTGAGGGGGCCTCATCTCCTGAGCTTGTGTAACAGGGTTGAGACCCTTGCTCTGTGTGGATGAGAGTGGGGGGCTGTAGGGAAGATGAGCAAACTGACCATTGCACTGTAGTAAGGAGCCATTCAAGAGTGGGGTGAAAACAGAAATGTAGTTGCAATCAGGGACAGTACAGTCAGGGGACTAGAGACTGTTCTCTATGGCCAAGATTTAGAATCCTGAAGGCTGTGTTGCCTGCCTGGTGCTCAGGTTCAGAATATCACCTCTAGGCTTAACAGGAAATTGGAGTGGGAGGGGAAGATCCAGTTGTCATAGACCACTTAGGTACCAACGATACAAGTAGAAAGAGGAAAGACATTCTGCTGAGGGAATATGAGCAGCTAGGGGTTAAACTAAAAAGCAGAACCAAAAAGGTAATAACAAAAACAGAAGTTGCTGGAAGAGCTCAGTGGGTCTGGCAGCATCTGTGAAGAAAAATCAGAGTTAATGTTTCGGGTCCAGAAAGAGGAAGTATGGAAAGGCTCAGGAATCTAACTCTAGCCACAGCAGATAAGGGAACAAATATGACAGGGGGCCAAATATGAGAAGGGGCACTCAATGCAGGACTGAGAATGTTGTACTTACATGTAAGCAGAATACAAAACAAGGTAAATGAGACTGTACTGCAAATTGAAATTTGCAGGTATTTTGTTTCATCACAGATGTGGCTGCAAGGGATCAGGGCTGGGAACTAAATATACGTGCTATTGAAAGGACAGGCAGATGAGCAGAGGCATGGGGTTGCCTTGTTAGAAGGAAATGAAAATAAATCAATAGCAAGAAGTGATATAGAGTTAGAAGATGTAGATGTAATGTGGGTAGAGTTGAGCAACCGCAAAAGGAACAAACACCATGATTGGAGTTGTGTACAGGTCCCCTCGTAGTAGTCAGAATGTGGGGAAGAAAATAAATCAGGACACAGAAAAGGCATGTAAGAAAGGTGCTATTACAATAATCGTGAGGGATTTCAATGTGCAGGTGGACTGGGAAAATTAGGCTGGTAGCAGATAGAGAAAAGAAATTCGTGGACTATCTACGAGATAGCTTTTTGAAGCAGCTTGCGGTAGACCCCACAAGGGAATAGGCAATTCTGGATTTAGCGATGTGTAATAAGGCAGACTTGATTAGGGAGCTAAAGGTGAAGGAATCCCTAGGGGGCAGTGACCATTATACGTTAAGAATTCTCCTTGCAGTTTGAGAGGGAGAAGATTGAATCAGATGTAACAGTATTACAATTCAGTAAAGGTAACTACAAAGACATGTGGGAGGAGCTGGCCAGAGATGATTGGAAGGGAAGATAGTGCAGCAGCAACGGCAGGGGGAGTTTCTGGGGACTAATTCAGGAGGCACAACAAAAGGGGAGAATTCGGCTGCCACGGCTAATAAGGGAATTCAGGGACAGCATAAATGCAAAAGAAAAAAACATACGTTGTGGTGAAGATTAGTGGGAAACCAGACATTTGGGAAGCCTTTTAAAAACCAACAGAGGATAACTAAAAAAGTAATAAGGGGGGAGAAGATGAAATATGAGAGTAAGTGAGCTAGTAATATAAAAGAAGATTGTAAGAGTATTTTTTAGATATCTAAAATAAAAGAAAGAGAGGGGCCAGAGTGGACATAGGACTATTGGAAAATGAGACGACAGAAGTTGTAATGGGGAACAGAGAAATAGTGGAGGAAGTGAATGGGCAATCTGCATCAGTTTTCACAGTGGAAGACATCAGCAACATACCACATTCCTCAAGAACTTCAAGTGAGTCAGAGGGTGGACGCGAGTGTAGTGTCCATCACTAAGGAGAAGGTGCTGAGGAAGCTCAGAAGTCTAAAGGCAGATAAATCACCCAAGGTGGATGGACTAGACCCCAGAGTTCTGAAGGAAATAGCTGATGAGATGGTAGACATTGGTGGTGATCTTTCTGGAATCACTGGAGTCAGGGAGGGTCTCAAGAGGACTGGAAAGTGGCTAATATAATGTCCCTATTTAAGAAAAAAAAGAGAAGGCAGTAGACAGGAAATGATAGGCCAGTTAGCCTGACCTTGGTCATTGATAAGATTTTAGAGCCCATTATTAAGGATGAAATTGTGGAGTACTTGGAAGTGCATAGTAAAGTAGGTCAGAATTGGCACGGCTTCAGCAAGGAGAGGTCATGCCTGACAAATTTGTTAAAATTTTGAAGAGGCAATGAGTAAGGTAAACAAAGGAGAGCCAGTGGATATGATCTATTTGGATTTCTAGAAGGGCTTTGACAAGGTGCCGCACAGAAGGCTGCTAAGTAAGAGCCCATGGTGCTAGGGGCAAGGTACTGGCATGGATATAGGATTGGCTGACTGGCAGAGGCAGAGGCAAAGACTAGGGATAAAGGGGTCTTTTTCAGGATGGCAGTCGGGGACTAATGAAGTTCCACAAGGGCCAGTGTTGGGGCTACAACTATTCATGTTACACATTAATGATCTGGACAAAGGAACTCAGGGCATTGTTGTAAGCGGATGACAAAGATAGGTGGTATTGTGGAATCATGGAGACTGCAGAAGGACTTGGACATGCTAGATGAATGGGCAAAGATATGCCAAATGTAATACAATGTGCCAAAGTGTGAGGTTATACATTTTGGTGGGAAGAATAGAGGTGTAGACCATTTTCTAAACAGGGAGAGGCTTTGGAAATCTGAAGCACGAAAGGACTTGGGAGTGCTAGTTTTCTTAAGGTTAACATGCCGAGTCAGTTGGCAGTTCGGAACGCAAATGAGGCAGAGATGTATTGCTGAGTGTACAAGGCTCGCGTCAGACTGCATTTGGAATATTGTGAGCAGTTTTGGGGCCCGTATCTAAGGAAAGATGTGCTGACATTGGAGGGGGTGCAGAGGAGGTTTACAAGAATGATCCTGAGGATAAACCACTTGTTATGAGGAGCGGTGGAGGACTTTGGGTCTGTACTCAATGGAGTTTAGAAGGAGGAGGGGCGATTTGAAACTTACTGAATACGGACAGGCCTGAATAGAGTGTATGTGGAGATGTTTGCACTGGTAGGAGAGACCAGGTCCAAGGGGCATAGCCTCAGGATGAAGAGATCACCCTTTAGAACTGAGAGGAGGAGGAATTTCTCCTCAACAGAAGGCTGTGCAGGCCAAGTCATTGAGCGTTTTTAGGACAGAGACAGATAAGTTCTTGATTAGTAAAGGGATCAAGGGTCAAAGGAGAAGTCAGGAGAATGGGGTTGAGAAACACACCAGCCATGATCAAATAGTGGAGCAGACTCTAGTAGGCTGAATGGCCTAATTCTGCTCCTATTATCTTATGGTCTTTCCCAAGCTATTCTCTGTCCTTAATATACTTATAAAAAGCTATTTTTAAAATAGCTTGTTGACTACTAAACTTTTGTGAACTCTCAAGCCTGAGATTACTCAGTCCTCCCTTCAGACCGGCTGCCTGAGAAGCATGCTGTGATGATAGCACATCATAGTCACAAAAAGGCAGACAACACAATCAAAGCACACAGCAGGTACAATGCCGACTCAAGGGATTTTCTAACTCCATTATCCCAGTTGCACCTTGCTTTCGTTCCATGGAGGATTGAGCCAAATACTCATTCTATCACTCTGTGAAACATGCTTCTTCACTGCATTAAATATTTAAATAGTGACAATAGTTGGCACTTGATATTTCTTTGTACTTGCTCACATTAAATCATATTCAGTTATGTTTCAAACAAGTTGCAATGTTCTACGACACCCAGCATTTACTAAAGTACCATGTAATGCAAGTAGAAGATAGAAATTTCCACATTTGAATATACAGTTGAAGGATATACTGAGCAGAAATGATCCACTTTACCAAACAGAGATGGAAAAAACAAAACCAGGTGAGCCATTCCAACAAGAACAGCCAACACTGAAGAACGAGGTCACCCATGTACAAGTTTCAGACAAAGAAACTACACAGCCCGGATAAAACTTTGAAAGGGAGATACAGACATAGTGAAAGACTGACTGTACCTTTAGCTTGTTGCAAGTAGAAAAGTACTCCTTCTTCAAAGTCATCCTCACTGATGAGTTTGTCTCTTCTCGGTCTTCTGCTCAAAACTGGTTTTGACACAGACTCATCAGTGTCAAAATTAATTGATCTGCAACAGACAACACTATCAATATATTCTCCAGAGATAACATAAATGGCATTGAAGTTCTGCTACCTGCAAATAAACTTCCATTCAATTGGACAAGTCTAATCATCTTAACTCTTAGCCAAAATCGTGAATGCATCACCTGCAGGATTGTTTGCATACCAGCAAAATTGACCGTCTTAACTTAACAAGGTTGAGAGACTAACAATCTCTCAGAACAATAATGCAATAAAAGATTAATGTTCCAAACTATCAGGTCTATTTTTCACTAAAACAAAAAACAATCAATGCTCATCTAGAAGGCTGTACCAATCTGATTTATATATTGAAGAAAGAGCATAGAAAATTCATATAAGTGACATAAGAACTATGAGCAGGAGTAGGCCATCCAGCCCTTCAAACCCGCTCAGCCATTCAATAAGATCATGGCTGATATTTTCATGGCCTCAGCTCCACTTACCCACACTCTCACCATAACCCTTAATTTATTTACTGTTCAAAAAATTATCTTTCTTAGCTTTAAAAACATTCAATGAGGAAGCCTCAACTACTTCACTGGGCAGGGAATTCCACAGATTCAAAACCCTTTGGGTGAAGAAGTTCCTCCTCAGTTCAGTCCTCCCTGCTTCTATATTGTATATATGCCCTTCATAATTTTATACGTTTCTCTAAGACCCCATTATTCTTCTAAATTCCAATGAACATAACCTCAATCTACTCAGTCTCTCCTCATAAGTCAATCCTCTCAACTCCAGAATCAACAGAGTGAATCTTCTTTGCACGCCCTCCAGTGGCAGTACATCCTTTCTCAAGTAAGGTAACCAAAACTGCATGCAGTACTCCAGGTGTGGCTTCACCAGTACCCTATACAGCTGTAACATAACCTGGCCAAGCAGCATCATAGGAGCAGAGAGGCTGACGTTTCGGGCCTAGACCCTTCATCAGAAAAGGGGGAGGGGAAGGGGGTTTTGAAATAAATAGGGAGAGAGTGGGAGGCGGATAGAAGAGGGATAGAGGAGAGGATAGGTGGAGAGGAAACAAACAGGTCGAAGAGGCGGGGATGGAGCCAGGAAAGGTGAGTGTAGGTAGGGAGTTAGGAAGGGGATAGGTCAGTCCAG